GGTAATCAGTTAAAAATTAGTCATTTAACAGTACATAAAATCTATTATTGTGGTCTAAAGTGAAGTAACTGCTTCTCCTCAAAAGGCCAATGTGGTATGATATTTTATTTGGAAGAGCACTTGTGACCTTTCTTTTGCGTTCAAGATTGAAGTTATGAAGCATGTGCCCAGTATAGCCTAGAAACTATAGAACCAGATGTTGTCACCTGTAGTTTGCCAATGCATAAAAACACATTGCTGATAAATTGATGTCGCATAAAACATTTTGTCTGTGCAGCACCAGATCTCGCTTTCCGTGCTTGCAATTTCTGTTTAAATATCTCATTATACTAGTACTGTTTATATCGCTGCATTATTTCATGTATGTGCTTACTTTTCTGTTTTCAATTCTAAATGATTGACAGATACTGTCAGTCAGAGTGAACAAACACAAACATTCCTGTTTTCAACTATAAAGTATTATTAACAGAGACAGTTTTTAAATTTCTTCTGCAGGTTCCAAACTACTATAAGATAGTAACTAACCCGATGGATTTGTCAACAATAAAAGTGAAATTAGAAAAGACGTCTCCTCAGCATTATGAATGTGTTGAAGATTTTATATCTGATTGTAGATTACTGTTATCTAATTGTTTTGTTTTCAATACGGTAAGTACCATTTACTTTCCTCATTATATTAATGACATTAAAGAATAAAAAAAAAATTTTTGTATTGATTTCTCAAGAAAAGTATTTTCTGAATTTCATTAGCTTTGTAGAACTGTGAGTATCGTGAAATTTGACAATGTGAATAAAAAAATATCTAATCGAAAACAATTTGTAGGTCTTAAAATGTTGCCGTTTACTAAAATTTGTCAGATGTGACTGGGGATTGTTTTATTACGAGTGATTACTTATGATTGCTATGTTAAAGAAAGATGCACTTTTCGATGACTCCATTCACTTCTAATGTATTTAATAGCTATCAGCGATAAGTGAAAATTAAACCACCTAATAATTGGGCCATTATACACAGTTGCTTTGATCATTGATTTTGAGATCATGACTGTTGTAACTGTTATTGGTAGTATTTATGAATAAAAACAATATTTATGTATTTATATTTTGTAGCCGGATTCTGCCATCTGTAGAGCTGGTAAGAAGGTGGAAAGATTTCTCAACAGACTTCTTGAGAAGTGTCTGCCAGATTATGTTGTTTCATCTCCGGATGCACATTCACGGCACCATAAGCGAAAGAAGAAAATCGACATAGTACATTACAAGTGATGATTAGAAAAAGACATGCAATTTTCCATGCATTTAAGTTTTAATGTTTTCATACTGCGATAGTATATACTGCCAATCTTAAATGGACACATGCTTTTGGTAGTTAAGCTATCTCTAGAGTCCTGGGGGGGGGGGTCAACACTAATTTTGATAACAAAAAATTCTATGTGGAAAGGAATACACTCTAGAAATACGACTTAACATTTGTAAAATTAGATCTTGATTTCCGTGAAGTCCTCTATCTACATTGGGAGGTTCACCATGGAATTATGTTGTAGGGCTTCGTCAATGAAGTTGTGGGGTGTTCTCTAACATTATTAAGTACTTCACAAATTCCCAGCAGTCAAGCTAGCTACCTTCATCTTTTGAAGTCAAAATGTATGGGTGCTGATAGGACCCAGAATAAGAACAGCTCATCCAGCTAAATGTTGCTTTTATGAAGTTATTTTTTAAAGTGTTTGCCGTTCTTGCTGCTCCAGTTTTTTAGATGAGTGGCATCTTGTTTGTTGATCATTTGTTGTACATAACAATACTGTTTTCAGTTTAATCTTGGTTATCTGATTTACTTTGGCAAAGCTAAATTTGTTGGGATAATTGTATGCCTGAATTATACTAATCTCAACGTTATATTAGTTTGAATAATCTCTAATTCCATGTCATATTTTTCGTTATTTCATTGATACTACTAGTCCTAAAAAATTGGCACTATGAAACTTCGCAACAAATTTGAGTTTTCTAACTTAAGTGTTTTGTATAGAAGCCTTTGAATGCCAAAGTCAACTCTTGTGACCTTTCACAAAATAAAACCAGCCTAATTTTGTATGTATTTATTTCAAAACTATTGACTGAGAACTGTGGCAAAGAAGTAAAGTCTTGTCTATTTTTGGTTCAAAATAAAAACAGTTTACCAGGCAGAAAAATTGTGATAATTAATGAATTAATTGCAATCAGGGTCACTGTATGATGGAAACAAAATGCTGTCTTGTGTATTTTAAGTTTTTTGGTTTCCAACTTGAGTCTGAAATATAAAAAAAACACAGATGTAAGACGGTTGTGTTTGCTTTACTTTCATCACTGACTATATTTCAGCATTAAAAAAAATTCTATATTTCTACTTTACCTAACTTTTGGCGCAACAGTACATTAAACAGTAAAAGTAGAAAGCAAATTGAAATAGAACTTGTCTAATGGCTTGTTATAAACAACAATATGTGAATATTGTTAACATTACTATGGTATGATCAAATCCATGAGTTTATTGTTTTGTGTTCTTTGTTCTGTACAGGGTATTGTCAAATTTTGTAACAAATGCTGATCAATATTACTTTATAATGGTTAGATCAAATTATAGTTTCTATATAAAATATTTATGTATAAATAAAATATTGACTTGTAGTCGTCCAAAGTGATATTAATGTGCGATTTGTTCGAGCACTCTTGTTTTTTTTGTTTTTTTAATTCAGCATTCGTTCAGAATACTTTTATTACCCCATTTCAAACTTTTTTGTTTTAGTTCATCTGCACTGTATAGAAACATACTTGAACTGACTTTTGGATGTTACTGGTGTGAACAAGATACCATTGATTTCGTGCATTGTTAACGCAAACCTTTCTTGTTTAAAGTGTTATTTTTGTGGTAAGAAGTGAAAATCAGTTGCATTCCTACTGTGTGTAATCTGTAAAAAAAATCTCTCTCTGACCCCCTGTAAGCATTCATAGAATATCTTATTCAATAGAATTCTGAATCGACTGAGTGATCAATGGAAATTACATTTGGTATCGATAAAACAGTCTTCAGTGCAGGCTAGCTTGAGGGCTGTAATATATTTTGATTGGTTGCCAAACCAACTGCTTGTATCGATTTTTTTTTTTGGTGGTCACAATAATTGGAGGGAAATTTTTTGCATATAATACAAAGTGAAAATGCAACCTTGAGGTTAAAAACAAATGCACCTAATTGTTTTTTTACCACGATATTGAATCATTTATTTTGCAACTTAGCAAATGCATGCCCATAATGTTAAATGTGTGAAATGAAAAATAGTTGCTGTCACATAGTCTTTCGTTGTAATGTAGCAAGTGGATTTAATAGCTATTCTAGAAATGTCCGAAACCCATACTCTGAAAACTACCTTGTGTAAATATTTGAATGGTTATCTTCACTTATGCCAAAAATAAAATGGTGATCATCTGGTACTTTCATTATTACAAATTTTCTGTAGCGTGACAATGCTCCGCATCAATTGTTTTGCTGTTCTTACTATGTAAATAGAAGTGAATTTATAAAACCTATTATAGTATTTTTTTAATTTCTGATATTTTTCTACCTTTGTACTGATCTGCATACTAAAGAGACCCTGTAATTAGAAATTTATTCAATGCTGTGTAATTTCAAGCAGCCTAGCTGGCTTGTGAAATCACCATCTAGTTAAGGGGTTTTCTTTGTCTGAAATAAATTGCTTTCATCTATTGTCATCTATTTCATTTATTCACATTGAATTGTTTTGTTTTTTTCATTGTTTTGCCACTATAATTAAATATTTGGCCAATTTTTTAAATATTTCTGTATTTGTCAGTGTGGAATTAATTAAACCTGCTATCTCCAAGATTAAGATAAAGCAGAGTTTACTTAATATTTCACACTCAATTATATTTTGTGCTAGTTATTTGTAATATTAATGTGTATCTATATTTTTAATAGATATTCAATAGTTTGATATTGCTGATCTTCCATATGCATTTTTTCAGTAAGTTCAATTCTTTTCATAAGAACAATGGAATTGCCAAACACTGTTGTATTGATGATTAAATGTATCAATTGTTTTCATGCTTAACATATTATTATTGTAATAACAGTTTTTCACTCCATAAAGAACACCCTTGGAAGGAGCATGTTTCGAATCTAAAAAGATTACTCTCACTTTCATTGAATTAAAATTGTCATATAACTATGGTGATTGTGTGCTTTTGTCTTTCAGTCCGAGGTTGATTTTCACATCTTTCTTCAAAATGACTCATGAATCGCAAAGCATGATGAATCACTCAAAATGAACGATCCATGCATGTAGAACACATTAGCATTTCAATAGCTTCTATTGTTTTATTGAGTGAGCAGGTACTAATTTGCATAAGAGACCCAAGGAGAAGACAGACCGTTACAAATAAAATTAATTTTTGTGAAAGACTGATGTGAGTGTTAAGACATAAAATAATGTAACTCAAATTTATTTATTTTGGGAAACTACTACTTAGTTTGGGTGTTTTTATCTGGCATTTGTGAAAAATGTATGTATGGTTTCAATTCGTTGATTGACATTTATTACGGAATAAATTGTGACACACTGCTCATTATTGCCTGAAATGAATCATCAAAATTAGAGGTGTTTATGATGTCATTATCGTATACTGTAAATCTCCATTTGCAACCTAAATTCATTTCAACAATAAGCACCGAAATTTAACTAAATTCGTTCGATTCTGATGGTGGTAATTTATAATAATTTAAAGAAGAATGTGGGGGGGGGGGCAGCACCAATGCCAAATAAGGAATTCACCTACCAGCTGATGAGCAAAATATAATTTACAGCAGGAATAATCGTGCTAGTCGGAGAACAAATCAAACATATGCTTTTCCTGTGTCTGACAAACTCGTCTACACTCAAAGCACAGGGCATATTTATATCTATTCACTTTTTCTTTTCTAATTAGAATAATGCTACTCAATTTTGTCCACCAATTAGTAATATTCATAGTCGTAATTGATTGGTGAACCATGTGTACATTACAATTTTATGACTCAACTTATGGTTATCACAACTTGGCATTCCAAGTAAAAATTCCTAATTCGATTAGCAACATTAGGAAAATATATTTTTAATCTATTGCATCGTTTTAAGAACTCATGACTGATTGGTGAATTATACACGTCTTACTGTATACACTAGTACTGATAAACAAACATGTATGTCCGATTGAACCATACTTAATTTTGTTTTTTAATTCACAGTACGTACCAAGAATTCAAAACGACCAATCATTTGGTTTGTGTATTTAAAGCGGAGGAGTCATCATCTGCGCATGCGTCAGATGGCCATAGCGTGTCATTGTTTACAAAAAAGCGTCTACCCATGAGCCTTTGCGTTTTAGCGTGTGTTGTTATCGTCGCTTGGGACTCAATTCCCGCGCGTGCGCAGGGGACGACCCTCCCGCTTTAACTCTCTTCTGTGTCGTGTCTATTTTACCTAATAACATTAACCAGCTTGTATATACAAATTGGAATCGTGTGTGTCTACTTAAATGACAGAGCAGCCTGTGGTCAAAAAAAGGTCATATTTTTTATAATGCACCATACAATAAATGTGTTCTTTTGTTTATATACGACGACTCTTAAGCAGTGAATTAATTACATTAGACACAATATTGAGGGGGGCAAGGGGGATAGCTGGTACAGGTTACAGGAAATAAAAAAGGCATTTTACGTTTTTTCAGGAAATAAAATGAAAGTTCTATTTACAGTAAAAAATAGGTTTTTACACTTTACAGATAAAGCAAATTCTTAATTACATTTTACATTTTTATAACATATTTAATAATTTGTGTTTAAGAATCAAAATTGAAAATTGCATACGAATTGCGACATTTAATGTGGAAAATGCTTTATACGCTTACAAAAAATAAGATCTTTGTACAAATTACAGACAAATAAAATACTAGTAGCTGAATACATTTAACACCTTGCCCATCTCTACGAATTCATGTTTTTTATTCATTTAAATTACATTATTACGAACAAAATAATAAATTACAGCTTACAAAAATACCCCTTGCCGACCCTCAATATTGAGTTCGCCTCAATATACTATCAGGGGGAAATTCTTTCTCTCTCGGGGTTCTCCACACGTGTCAGGGGGAGACTCGTCTCGTCTCTCTATCTCGTCCCCTTGAGGTACGGGATCGGGAAAGTCACTTTAACTTTACAGTCAAATAAGACACACACAACG